CCCCAAAACCCCAAAACCCCAAAACCCCAAAACCCCTTTATTTAGACTTGTTGTTGACAATTATTCAAACTCTTTTAGGGTCTTGTGAATGATCTCTACACCCAATGTGAGATCTTCTTTAGAGGTGTTAAGAGGAGGAGCAAGTCTGATAATGTTATCATGTGTATTCTTGCAAGCTAGACCATTGAAATTCAATGCCTTTGTAAATTTAGTTCCAATTCCCTTCTGGCTCAATTCCAAAGAGCAGAAAAGAGCCTTTCCTCTAGCTTCTCTAACTAACGGATGGTCAAGTTTATTTAGTTCTGAAAGTAAAAATGAACCACTATCCACAGATCTTTGACAGAGATCTTCATCAAGAATAACCTCTAGAGCTGCTTTACCTACTGCGCAGGCTAATGCATTTCCTCCGAATGTATTCCCATGCTCTCCTGGTTTGATGGTCAGCATAATATCATCATCTGCTAAAATCATAGAGAGTGGTAGTAATCCTCCACTAGTAGATTTACCAAGGGTAACAATATCTGGTCTGTATCCTTCAGTATTATGAGCACAGAGTAACTTTCCTGCTCTACCAAGTCCAGCTTGAATTTCATCACTTATCATGAGAACATTATACTTTTTGCATAATTTTTGAGCCTCTGATAAGTAATTATCAGCTGGCATGATAACACCTCCTTCTCCTTGGATAGGCTCAGCCATATAGGCAACGATATTTGGGTTGCTTTTGAGTTTCTTTTCAAGAGCATCAAGGTTATCATACTCAACCAGTGGGAAACCTGGAGCGAGTGGTCCAAATCCTTCATATCTTACAGGGTCATCTCATCCACTAATGGCAGCGATACTTCTTCCCCAGAAGCATCCTTTTGGGAACAATACTTCAGCACAGTTATCAGGTACTCCTTTGACAACATATCCCCATCTTCTAGCTAACTTGACTGCAGACTCGCAAGCTTCAACTCCAGAACTGGATGGCAATAACTTATCATATCCGAATGTTTTGCTGACCAATTCTCCATATTCAGCTGCTTTGTCATTATCGAATGCTCTTGAAGGAGTTGCTCAGATAGAAGCCTGTTTAACAAGCGCCTCTACAATTTTTGGATGGGAATGACCCTGATTAGCAGCACAGTATCCTGAATGGAAATCTAAGTACTTCTTTCCTTCCACATCCCACATCCACGATCCTTGAGCTCTAGCAATAATCGGCTCAGCAGTTGCGTAATTATGGGCAAGATACTTCTTATTCATCACCCGATACTCCTTATTAGTAGAAGCAAAGGATCTGACCCCAGCCTTACCAGCTCTCTTCGACAAACAATTACTCAACATTTATAAAATTATATGCCCAAATCTTATTATTATTTAACCTAATAATTTATGTTCAACCATTGATCTGGGCCAAGGGGTTTTGGGGTTTTGGGGTTTTGGGGTTTTGGGGTTTTGGGGTTTTGGGG